GTATGTGCATGTGTGTGTATGGTAGTCTTACTGAGGGTGCCATCTTTACTCTGCCAGTTGGATTTTCCCCAATATGGCATTGGGCAGTAAACACCTACACACGCTGACACACAGCTCTCACTCCTCAGGTGTACCCTCTAGGTTTGGAAGAGAGACTTGTGAGGGAGAGTACAGGTCTTCTGAAGGGACATACAGTGCTCCTATTACGATAATACATCAAATACACACACACACACCCCTAGCACCACACACCACACACACACCAAGTAGATAGTCCTTAATTGATTATATTAATCATTCAGCTTGTAGGATAATATAATTTTCACAATCCGTGCCAATATTGAGAATCGAAACATTTAGTCTTCATGTTTCTAATTTTTTCTTTCTATCTTGCACACACATGCAAACAGCATTTTTGTGCAATTAAAAATCTGAATCTCTTTATCTTCCCTCTTTTATACTTCTTTTTTGCGCAACTCTGCTACGTCTTCTACATCTTTTTTATTCACCATTTCTCACAACATTGATTCCAGGAATAGATAACAGAATTGTTGCTCTCCTGCACGTTGCTGGTCACTGTTGCATCATTTAGCAGACTTCTGCCATCGGTGTGCAGTGACAGGTGACCGCCTCAAGTCATATTAAAGAGTAACAATGATATAGCATGCTGAGCCGCTTCCAAGAGAAAGCATGGTATACAATCAAATGTTGCTTCAAAGAGGTATAAATTTAACTTTGATTCATTGATTTACAAACTGCAACTTCACTGTTTTGGTTCAGTCTCGCAGCTGTCAGCAAAAAAAGCCCTAAAAACCCACAGTACACTACCTTCTTAGCACCACACAGACCAACAGACAAAGTTTGCAACTAGCATGTGAACATAGTAGAGCATTTAGCATCTACAGAGCCAAATGTATTCCCCAGGTGTTGATGGAGAACAAAAGAGAGCCCAAAGGAGAGTGATTATTGAAATACTATGGACACAAATATAACCGCAATGGGATGATAATGTTGTTCTGTGTCTGCTGGATATGTAAATAAGCAACTGTTTGCTAACATATCAACTTTATAAGGTCATAAAATGTTGATGTTGTGTTCACAGCTTGTTTCTGCTGCCAAGAGTGGCCAATAAATCAGTTATTGCAGGTTTCATAAGACTATTTCAGAATCCTTATTGTCAAATATTTAATGTTGTCCATTATAAATGTCATAGATCAGATTATCTTCCTATTATTCATTATGAATGGAAGCCAATTAGGTCCTTAGCAAGCTACGTTACTCATCCAAAATCGTATAAAGATATGAAAAACAATCATAAAAGATTTGACTTGACTGCTGCAGCTAAACTAGAACCAGGTGGAGCTGTTCGCATTGCCTGCAATCAGCTGGGAAACACAGAACCATCAATTAAGTTTCTTGTCAACACACAATCTGCATATCTATTTAGATTTCCGTCAGTTGGTATTGTAGCTGTTACATCCTGTAACCAACATGTTCTTGTGTGTTTGCTCATTCTTGGTTTTCCTTCCCTACACTCATTCAGTTCTTTTACAAACACTCAAGAGGGTTGTGGGTATGTGAATTGATTGTGTGTGTGTGTGTGTGTGTGTGTGTGTGTGTGTGTGTGTGTCTTATAGATTCATTTTAGCCTCTGTCCTATAATTTACAATCTTTTCACTGCTTTTATCCGTTTGCAGTTGATGGGAAAGATGCCCTGGTCACCTCTGGCCTCACTGTGTGTCTGTCTGTCAGCCTGTGCCTTTGGCTATAAGCGTGCCAGTACGAACACGTGTGTGTCATTGTCTCCTCCAGAGGAAAGTGGGGTGCGTACATTAATGACTGTTTTATGTTCCTTGCTATCTGAGTCTCTTTTATTCATGTTGGCCATGACGGCCTAATATCTGCCTGTCAAACAACTTCTATTCACTCCGCTAACAGACTGGAGACTGATACTTAAGACACAAAAAAACACACACCTACGTATAGGGCACTCATACCCTCCTCGTGGATTAGTGGGTGGTGAAGGAGCCACACTGGGCATTATGTACTGTTCTTGCTCCAATCAATTACTATTCATTTATTCCAAAGGAGTGACCGTGCCCTGATCTGAAGAGGTATTATAACTAGTGTGTGCCTTGCAGTTTATTCAAATCTTTTTAACAAAACTTTGTATGTTTTTTTATTCTCCTCCTACCTCTGTCACCTTCTCGGCTGTGTGTTCACTTATTTCTATTGTCTGTACCCATTTCTCCTCCTCCTCCCAGCCCTCTCTTTTGTTAGAATCTTCTAGTCTTTCTCCTGCTCTTTGATTACTTGCATCTCCCAATCCTCCCCTCTCATCACTCCGACCTTCCTACTTTCTTTTTCACATCTTCCAAATCATCCCTGGCTCATCCTTTAGGTCTCCCCTTGCTTCTCTTCTTTCCTACCGATCTACCTCACTAACTAATATTCCAACTGGCGCACTGTGAAAAATAATATTGCATTCTTGACTTTTAGTGCCATGTTCACACCCCATTTACACTTGGTATTAAAATACAATGTGTATAGGGAAAAACACATGTTAATGCAACATCTGGAGGTAGTCTGGCTTGTACTGTGTGCAGATCTGAGGCAGGTAAGAGACACACCTCAAGAGCCAAAAGATGTGTATGAAAAATGAAAAGCCAGTGGAAAATGACTTATATACAATAAGAAAGTTAAGCTAACAGGATGCTGGCTGTAGCCTTATACTGAATAGACGTCAATCTTCGCATCTAACGCTCAGCAAGAAAGTTAATATATAATATAAAGTAAGCTACAAGATACGTCTCATAGTGAGTAAGACATTTATCCCTCAGTATTCTTCAAGTGATAAAAAAGAACGAAAAAGGAAGCCTCACCCTAATTTTAAAATCTCATACATTTTCACCCCCTATACTCCCACTGTCCCTTCTTTCTACTCCATTGTATCCATGTAAAGTACGTAGTAAAGCCTTGTAGTCCTAATAACATCCAATTTCAAGCCCTTCACATCCATTACTAACAATACTATTATCCCCCCTCCCCTCTGTGTCCCTCATACACGCACATTGCATTAGCCTTGGGAGAGAACAATATGATGTAGTGACACTGGTCTAAATGGACTGCTTTGTGGTGTGTCTATGTGTTGGTATTGGATGTCTATGTGAGAGTGATTACCCAGTTCATATTTAAAAAGACAATACATTTAAACATTGTAAAGTAAGTTGGTTTTAACAGTTTTGCTATTAAACTGATCTGCACTAGTTTATTAGTTGGTATCAAGCTCAGTAGATGTTTTTTGCCCATCAACAAGAAGGCCTCAGACACAGTTCTCGCATTAAGAAGTCTACACAGTCTACATAGTAAAAAGGGTTAAACAAAAACTGAGATGTGTTCTTATCCTCATAATAAAGTGTTAAAAACATGTTTTACAAAGCTACTTTTGAACCTAAAATCGGACATTAAAAAGGTATTTGTGATACTGTAAAATACATACAAGCCTACGTGTGTATCTTAAAGTTTTACACATACAGAAGGTGTAATTTTTTTTACATTACTTTTTATTTCCCAAAGTCCTGATTAAGATGGTGCCACACGAGAGACAAAAGGTAATTATCATAAATGAACAGCAAACAGACACCACACCTTTAACAGCTGTGCCCCCAAATTGCCCCTTTAAAAATGCTATTATTATATGAGGGGGTAAAACTGATACATCAAATTGATGCATTAGTGGAATAATCCAATTAATTGCATTGTGAAGCCATTTGGTTTTCAGGTGGAGAGGCTCCTGAGTGGTGCTCTGATGAAGAAATATTTGTGTGTATGAAAGGAATCAGCAGCACAGTCACTGTTTGAATTACACTTACACATACCAAACTGATTCACTGATTCATTAATGCATTACAAAGATTCCTCATGTGGCATTTAATATATCTAATGATACTTTATAATCTTTAAGATTTTCATGAATTGACTTCTGGTTGGGTATGGTTGAGTAGACACACGTTAAGTCTCGCTCCTATATTATGTTTGCTATAACCCTGTAATTTTACTTTAACTCAGCACCAAAATATGGCAACAAGATCAACCAAACAAGGCAACAAAAAAATGTCTGCAGAAAACTCACTAAAAAAGGTTTTTACCATTTACCATTTATTTTTGATGCTATTAATATTTTTAAGCTATAGTCATTCAACATGTTCACACACGAGGGGTACACAGGAAATGATGCATTCATATAATCCAGCGTTACTGTGTGTAATTTTATCTGCCTGATAATTTCATATTTACTCTCTCTCTCTCTAAACTACTGCTAATGTACACCAACTTTTCCTACTGCTGCCTTGAACTTGAGCTTTTATTGTGAAGCTGTCACAGGAAACTCAATGTATTTGTCACCTGACCATGATCGTTCATTAAAAATGCAACACAATATCTATTTTTGTCTGTTTTCGATGCGTGGATGATTTTACTACTCTACCATTTTATTCAAATTGAAGATTGATTGGTCGCATTGACAAGCTGCTCAGTAAGGATTAAACCTCCCTTCCTGTTACCATCAGTAACCAGAGGTGTCGCTACATTAAATCTTCTGAATTTTCAGGATTCCTACAAAAAAAAAAGCTTCCCACCAGCACTTGAATGCACTAACACAAGCCACTATGAGCATTATAATTAGTGGACTGTATGCCCTTTGTGCACAAATGGCAGTAAACAACAGTAATAGATTAGGATTTGTCCAAAGACTCTTTTTCCCTCTTTCATCATCTTTCTTACAGCTTCCTCCTCATTTCTCGGTTAGTTTTTTAATCAAAACTCTATTTTACTAAATTGTACATCATCTCTCTCCTTTCTTCTTCGACCTTCCCTCCTCCATTTTTTCGAAGCTACATAAGATCTCCCCTGCCCCTTTCCCTTACTGCCCCCTTCCATTGTAAGAACCAACAAGTCTGCCAGACAGAAAGAGGTCAGACTTCTTATCCGAGCTTCATAATGGTTTCTGAAGAGCAGAGCACTGGGCATTGCAATAATTACCAAGCCATTGGACAATAGACGCTGCATAATCAGTATGGAGATGAATGCTGTCTGCCTGTCCCAAACACACTAAACATTCACCGTATTACTGTTTCCTTGGACTATGTATTCATTTGTGAAGCTTTTCATTCTTTTTCTGTCTTGTGTTGTAATGCAGTTTTGCCAATCACCACTCAACCATGTTTCTCTTTTGCCCTCCTCTCCCTTCTTGTTCTGCCTCGCTACGACATTTTCCCAATGTCTACCAAACTTCTTTATCATTCTCAGTGTAACTGCATGACTGGCCGACAAAACACAAGCTTGCTTCAATTCACAGCAGGGTCAAGAGTTGCGTCTGTATTTTGCGTGTCTGATGTGGTGCAGGGTCGAGAGCAGTATGCCACCACCTATTGGCCCAGAGACAGCAGCACTTACTCTTCCTCTTCAAATGCAATATTCCCCTTAAATTTATCTTTCAAAATTAGTTTTCATACATATTCTGCACCTCTGTGTTCCAATGCTACTGAAGATATATCAGACTTACATTTAGTGAATTATTCAAAACCATAAAGCCATGTCTCCCTTATATGGAACCATTCTGCATAAGGATTAATGTTCATTGGCAGTGTTAGTGTGATGTTAATAAATTGGAAGGACACCAAGGTTCAAAGTACCTTCAACACTGGAGATTTTATTGTGTTTTATTATTTATATATTTTTTTTATTGAACTAAGGCTAATATCTTCCCTTAAACTTATAGCCATAGTTTCATGCACATGCATGTCATTAATATATATATAAGATTTTTTTGTTTGAGTACAGTATTTACTTTTACAGATAACTTCTGTTTATGTGAACTTTTTTTCATATTAAGTTTCTGTCATCATTCCTACCTGTAATAATAATATTGTACTTATTAAGTAAAGTGCCAAGATGTGGGAAAGTGGAAACATCACTGAAAAGAAGAGAGACGAGGCGAAGACAAGCGAGATGATTAGAAAGATTTTAGACAAACCTCAAGTTTAGCTAAACTAATTTGGGCAAGAAAATGAAGTTTTAGTTGTAGCAGGTTTCTATTATGGCTGCATCAAATGGAGACATTTGTGGTAGTAGTAACAATATCTGTAATGTACTTCTTAATGGTTGTGTTCTAAGTTGTCAGCTGCGTTGTTGTTTTTGCTGTAACAGCAGCTGATGTTGCAAAAATTGGTGTAATGACTACCCTTGAGTTCATAGTGTGAACTAGTTGAGTTTGGTCTCATCGACGGTTTTACTGCCTCACTGGGGTCATTATTAGAGCTTCTGTCACACTTTTTTAGTACAGTTGCTGCTAATGTAACTGATACTAATCCTGGCTTTAAACCACTATTGTATACACACACACACACACCTTCACATATGCATGCACAGGTTTGTCTTTCAGGAAAGTGTGATTTGGGCACCGTCCAGCGCAGATGGCTTAGAGCAGAAAAGGAAAGAGACTGAGGGAGGGGTGCACAGCCAGCAAGACTTGAATATAATCAGGTCAAAACAAAAATTTTAAGATGAATATTTTTAAAATACACTGCTGGAAGGTTTCATCATGCAATAATGAATACTCTCGACCTTCCAAATTGTGACTTTGTTTGAGTGTCTCACAAGCCTAAACTAAGCACTGGTATTTTCTGCCACAAAACAGAGTTAAGTATAACACTGCAACAATTATATCTGACTGACTCCAAAACGTATCGCCATGTTCTGTATGCAGTGTCAGGTAGAGCTGCGTTTCCACCCAAAGAGCCCACGACTTTTACTTTTCTTAAACACTGTTTTGACAAATATGCACAAACTGTTTAAGACTCTTTTGCACAATAGCTGTAGTATCATTGCACAAAAAAGGGGAGAGAATTCAAATTTTAGTTCACAGTGGCTACACGACTAGTTAGACTTATTATCTTTTGCCAGAGACTACGGTGCTAGCTCCTTGAACTACAGGCGTACATGAAGGTTTAGCTACATCAAATGTGTCAAAAGAAATGCTGTAAATAAACTTGGCAAGAAATGATCGTCTGTTGCAAGTGCTTCAAATTTTGGCAACCATAAAGGAAGAATTTTAACTATCATCAAGAAGTCATCTGTGTCCTCAATTTTTTGTAAGTATTTTTGTGTTGCAATTTTGTATTTTAAACGACAGGAGGTTATCAAATGCCAAGAGGGAAAAACAATTAATTTGTATTTTGTGAAAGAAAGTATGAGGGCTTGTTTTCTTTTGAGAGGAAAGGATGACACTAAACTTAAAAAGCAAAACAAATGTGATTAAATAAAAACTTTTTTTTTGGTACACTCATTTTTAAGGAACACATAAGAGACATCATTTTCCTGTCTCTTGTGGCATCAGAGAAGACTTTAATAAAGGATGACCTCCGTCCAAGCACAGGTTTCTTTCAAAGTGATTGAAGAGCAATTAAGGAATTTGTAAAGAAACACCATAAAAAAAGAAATCTAGATTCAACTATTTAAAGTTAGACATCTTCCTTTAATGGAATCAGCAGTGAGGATAAAAAATTTAATTAGTTTTTTTTATTTTCCTGTTATTGGTGACTTTTGATTAGACTGCAACAATTTGCATAAAAGCACAGCTATGTCTGTTTAGGACCCAACCAAGGTGAGCACCTTTCTATTTATCTTCCACTGCAATTCTTTAAGGGATATTCACTGCTTTCAATTGTGAATTTGAAATGAACTTGAAGTTTCCTTGAATACCGCTGTTGGTACGGGCAAAAAGTGTATGAACAGTGTGTTTATGTGAGGCGGGGAGGGGGAACAAAGATGTTATGACACACTCCGGAGGGGACACACAGTTCTGATTACACGCAATCCCACACTCTGACATACGGCCCATGCTTTAGTGGAAAGCCTTTTTTTTTTTTCCTTTGTCAATTTGCATATGAGGTCGTTAATTTTCTCAAAGCCGCGGACTTAATGAGTGGATGGCTGAGAAGCTGAACGGGATGCAAATAATAACATTTGATAATGCAGAGCCACAAAAGAGGGGGAGAGGCCTCCTATTCACCGAGATGGGACTTGAGGTAAATATGCACAGTAATTATATATCAGCGCACTTTAATTATGAGGCTACACGGGGAGCGAGAAAGAGAAAGATGGAAAGATAGACAGAAACACATTGAATTAGACGTAACAGCATATAAATTAAACATTTGAAATAAAGACACAATGAGGAAGAGGGAGAGTAAGAGTGGGCTAAGAGAGGAATTAGTGGAAAAACCAGAAAGTACGACAACGATTAGACATGGACAGCCACACTTTTGCACATACATTATTTACCAACACATACACAGTTCCACATACTACATACAGTGTGTGTGTGTGTGTGTATGATATCAACTCCATAACAAAGTAATCCCTCCAGTAAATGCCACTTATTAGAGATGAGCATCTTGAGTAAAAGACAAATCAATAAACTTAAACAAGCCTTTAGTATGTGTGTGTGTGTGTGGTTGTGAGTGTATGTGTGTGCGTGTGAGTGTGAGTGTCTGTGTGTGTTTTGGGTGAAGACCGAGTTACACAAAAGCCTAATCTTTCTTTTCTCCTTCTCATTCTTTTGACATGGCAGCAGTCTGACAGATCCTCAACGCTGCAGCCTATTTATTTAATCCCCCTCTCCTTTCTTCCTCCTGTCCTGTCAGAGGAAAACTGAAGGAGAACCACTTAACTCGTTTTTCTCTTTTATTCACTCACTGATGCATGCAGATAAAGAACAATATTTGCATCTTTCAGTCACATCCACATTAGCCCTTATACTCTGGCTGCCAAATAGCAGTTAACAATGATGTATATCTTTTTACCTTTTTCTTTAGCTGTGCTTTGTTTATCTATACTGCAAAAGTAAGGCATACATATATATAAATACATAGAAAACTACAAATAAATATACATTATATATATGCAATGGATAAACATGAATGCAAGTAAGCAGCACATGTGCAGACATTTATAGAGAGGCTGCAGTGTAGAGGAGGGACATGGAGAGGGAGGGAGATATAGACACAGAGAGATGAAACGAGACAGTGCAACAGTCAGATAGACACTGATAGCACAAGAGTAAGAGGCAGACATTTATGTCTGGGCTATGACTAAAAAATGGCCCTGTACCACATTATATTCAGAAAAATAGTGAACTTACTACTCATTAGATTTTTTTGTGTTAACATTTCTCTTCTTTCTCTCTTCTCCCTATCTTTCTCTCAGGTTTGACCCTCAAAAGGGCTTTTGGTGCCAGCTCCTTGAGGGAGGAAAGACAAAATGTTTGGGAAAGAGCAAAGGGAGGAAGTACCCTCCTATGGAGCCAGAGGTAAATGTATATATTTTAATTAAAATTAATTTATGCTTAGTGAAAACTATGATATATGCATGGAATGAATTGTTAGAAATAGAGACAAATAAAAAAGAAAAAGCAGCAGTCTGATAGACAGTGACAGCCCACAGTGGCCACCATTGCTGTGGCAAAATTTCCCACAGGACTCAGCATTGGGGTGGAAACTGTCAGCCAATCAGATCCAGCCAGAAAGTTACAACCTAATTATTAGGACTCAATAGTGACACAACATCCGTGAGAGAGTGGATGGGGAGGGGACCGGGGGGGGATTAGGATGGAGGGAGAAAGGTAGAAGTAGAAAATCCAATCCATAAATCTTTGTCCTGGCTACTGATTCCACAGAGGAGAGACCAGACCTGCAGACAATGAATCATACCTTTGCTCGCACATGAAGACAAACACACATAGACACAATTTGTCTTCCTACATGTGCTCACACATGGCTAATGGCTGCGCCTCCGTGTCACCTGTAGTTAAACCGTATTTGAGTTTCCACCAGGGGGACAGAAGGAGAGGACAGATGAGGAGGGAGGAGATGGAGGGAACACCAGGGAGGAGAGACAAGAGAGGCGGAGAAGAGGGACACTCAGGAGGGAGAGAGATAATGGATCTCATGCATCCTTCATGTTATTTTCTCCCTCTCTCTAACCTCTTCTTTCTTAGCTCTGTTCATACCACTCGGCACTTAGTGGCCCAAAAGTCCTATTGAGGAGAAATAAACTAATCTAAAGATGGTGGCACATCATTAATCTCTCTCAATATCTTGTTTGCCCCCTTCTCCCATGCTGTCTATTTTGTTTTTCTCCTCTAAACATCCCTTCTTCCAACTAATTTTTTCACTCCCTGAACTTCTCACCTCTCTTTCCTCCTTCTTCTTTTATTGCCATACGCATGCCCCTCTTCTATTCTACTCTATTTCTTTATATACTTCCTGTATTCTCCTTCACTTATCGAATCCTGACTTACCAACTTGTTTTCTTTTTCCCTTTGTTTTATTTCCTCACTACTCCCCCCATCCATGTCTGCTCATCTTCTTGCCTATTTTGCTCTCACCCTTCAACTTCTTCCATCCCCCACCACCCTCTCTCCCCTCTCCTCTCTTCAGGCACATGCATATCTCTCCAGGTACTACAGGGAACACAACGTGGAGCTGTCAAAGTTGCTGCATCGTCTCGGACAGCCGCTTCCCTCCTGGCTTAGAGAGGAGCTTCAGAAGGTCAGCGGCATTAAACTCTGTGACACTCATCTCACCAGCTTATAAAAGTTGAAGTGTTGAATTTACATCAGTGGATAGTGGGGGAAGATGTTCTGAAAGCCCTTGAAAACGTGGTTTTAAATCTTAAGTATTTTATTAAAAAATTAAATTTATGTGACTAAAGCAACAATTGAAGTCTGAATCTTATTATTTCAGGGTTGTGTCGTTAGATCAGAGGCCAGCTTCACCAGAAAGATACTTAGTGTCCTAATGTTACTTGTAATGTTACTGATTTTAAACCTAGAGTCAGCCGCCCTACCCCCAGGCCAACCTCAGAACTAAAAGACTCACGTTTCCATGGTAACAACCAGTGACACCTGCTGACCTGTGGCAAAGAGGAAATCATGGCTCATAAATTCTGCTAAGAATGTTGTGAAGCAAGCAATGAGAAGGGAAGGTGTTAGAGGCCATGTAACCCCATTGAACTTCACTACCGTTCGCCAGTTGTTTTTATTTGCACGAGGAAACCGGACTGAGGAGTTTGCAACTATACTGAGCCCAGCCATATAAAGAAGCCTCGTCACAGGAACAGGTCTATCCAGTGTTGAGATTTTATGCTACTGGAGCTTTTTTGTATTGTTGTGCTCTTTGTTGAATTTTCGCAGTAAAATATTCAGGTCAGTCATGTGTTTTAGTTTGAAAAAAGTCTAAATTTTTTCAGAATCTTTTACAAATATGTCCTCCAGTTGGTCCAACAAGACAGTGTTTGTGCAACAGATGGATTTATCATCGTCAGTCTGACAATTAGTTAGATCTAAGACATAGTCAAAGTCTGTCTTGTGAAAGGAACAACAGTCAGTAGGTTTAGATTCAGCCGATTTGTTTACAGAAATATGTGTTGTCACCTTTTTCAATAGAGCCCTGCCCACTGCCAACCAGTGAGGAAAAAAATTAAAAGCTCCTATAACTCCCAAAACTGTTCTGACTTTGGCAGGAAATGTTGTGCTCATGTAGGACCCCATCGCTCGTCTTAAGAATCAGAGTGATAGAATATGTTTTCAGGGCCTTTAGGCTTAAAGTTAAACCATACAAAACAAAAGCGAAATGTGGGGATAGATTGTCAATGGACAAATCTAAATCTAAATATTGCTGGCTTGTAAAAGAAAAAAAGATATCTTCTGAATCTGAGTGTCGAGGAATCGTGTCGTGGAATTCAAAGCATGCACTTGAATTAGGCTTCGTAGTGTAAGTGCTGTTGCTGACATTTGTCTCACCTTGATCTCTGCAGAGCCCTCTTTCTTTTGCAATGCTCAACAAACAGTGTTTGTGTTTTTGTCTGAGTATTTGTTTGCACTGTTTGTCACTGTTCATGAATCAGAGGGAGCCACTTGACAAGTCCACTTAGGTTTTCCAGCCCATTCACAGCAATTACAGCATGTTTTCTGTCCTTTTTTCATGGTTTGACATTTCAATCAATAAGAAAACAAAATGGAATTAAATTACCTTTTCCCTTTTCTCTGTTTCCATCTCCATCCCCTCCCTCTTTACCTCTTTCTGAAGGTTAGATAACCTTTGCATCCATGAACCAGGGTTAAAGGTCAAGGGGTCGAGGACCAAGAAGTGACCAGGAGACCTGACCTTCAGATGCACTGTCTGTGGCCTTTTAGGAAAAACCCTGAGGTGAAGGCAGGGACAGGGTGCCTTGTTTCACCTAGGAGCTGTGTCACTGCTGATGGGAGCAGAGGTCATAACAGCGCAAAGAAACTTTGCTGAACTGAACTGTTGAAAGGATGAATGAATGGATGGATGGAGGAGTGACTAAGACAGCTCTGAAGACAGTGGGACCACATTAGAATAATGAAGAGAACTATGGGAGACAAGGAGCATTTGGCAAGTCTTTGATGCCCAAACCCTGTTCTGAACTATGGTGAACTCTCGTGCAGACCTGCAGTGACTTTGATGGTTATTACTACTATTATTACTATTATTATTGTTTTATTTTCACCTTTGATTTATGATGCCAGAACAGCGCTGGTCAGCTGTGCGTGGTTCCTATAGAGATGACTTTGCACTAAGTTCTGTTCCATGTATTTCCGAGACAAAAAAATGCACCCTATATGGTTTTGTCTTACTTTTTTGTTTTTTTGTTTTCATATATATCACAATGAGAGTGAATAAGCAGGGAGGATAAGTGCATAGACTCAGGGTGAGTGACAGGCTGTTACTTTCCATGATAGGTTCTCATTGTTATGTGAGTTAATTTTTTAAAGTGAAGCTAGTTTCTGGTAGATCTGGTAGCCTTGTTCACCCTTAGAGATGTCACTTGAGACTTTCACTGGAAAGTATGGACTGGAAATTATGCATTGCCCGCTCATTATTTTCCTGTGACTTGCCATGCAGAAGAAAGCGGTGTCCATTTAGCAGAGCATGAGCACTGATGATTTCAGCACTAAGGACTGAGGAGGCATGTGGGAAGGAAAAGTGACCAAAATGAGCCTAATGGATATGACACTTAATTCCAGGACCCTTTAAGTAGCTACTGTAACCGCAGGCAATTTTTGTTTTGTCAGTGTCTCATTTAAGTCTCAACCTCCTTTTTTTTCCTTTTTAAAACCAGTGGCCTATGTTGTTGAGCTTCAATTTGAATGCAAAAAACCCCCTAAATGTCAAACACAGAACCAAAATTAAAGAAATGGATATTACTGACAGGATAAGATGTTTTTTTTAATGTCCAAGAAACACTGAATTATACTATCTAGGGACACATCTCCAGACATATTTAAGTGACGTGATCTTTGGCCCAAATGGTAGACTGTTTGTCCTCAAAGGTAAGTGGAAATTGTGTGCATGACAGTTTGCTATTCAAAGAATTTATGGCTGTGAGGTATTGCATCAGTTACCAACTAACCTATCATACAATCATGTTCAAGTTAAACAGGAAGGTTATTACAGCACACACAAACATGTTTTCATGCCAGACTGTAAAATATAGACTATGCTGTTACACAAACCTGACACGACAATAAAAGACAAACAACACAATAGCAGACATTCACTTTGGAGGATACCCACTGTGGATTTTTCTCCCTCACTTACATTAAAAGTGCATTAGGATGGCAGCTTACTATTGTTTTAAGACAAAAAAGACCTCATTCTTCAAGGCACAAAATGGTAATCAGATACACATCGGTCCCTGTTAGAGGGTGTGGGTAAGTATTTTGACATACTGCGGTGAGGGCTGCTAGGTGAGATTGTATTTGTCAATCTGCTGTTGAAATATTTCTCTGATCATAAAATTTTGAAAATTTGCAATAAACCTTGAATGTGATTGAAGCTTCGATATTACCAGAGAACACAAAATACAACCTTTAGCCATGAAGTCACAAAAGGCTTCCACCATCAGATTAATGGCTTGAAAGGCATAACAGCGTTATATGCCCAAACTGGTCTGAAAGATCAGAAGACATCAATTAAATCAATTAAAACACCCATTACCAGTAAGGCAGTAAGGACAAATCCGAAGCATGTGAATGTTGGAGAAATGTTTGAAAAAAAATTTTTTTTTTTTTAAGCAACCATTTTTTACACTCAAAGAACCCCTTTTTGGCAGAAATGTACAATATTGCTTCCCATAAATCATTGTCTTTATCTACAGTAGCTCCATCCCTGCAGTACCCCATTGTGTTTGTAAGGAGCCAGAACCGACTGTTTAAAGGGACGAAATAATTTTAGGTATTCCAGTTATGGCTCGTTTACAGCAGGGTTCGATCTTTACTATAGAGTTAACAGGGCCAGGTAATAGCAGGAAAGCAGTCAGTGTTTTTACTAATTAAGTCTCCAGTGTGCATATATTTGAACAAGGATATGATATTATGTATGTAATGGATTTTTTTTTTGTCACTTTAAACAAAGAAAGGTGTGAGAGTGTGTAGCAATGTGGTTGTTGAGAAAAGGGTATATTTAGTTATAAATTACGTCATTGTTGACAAGAAAGAAGCTTGTGATTGGGATATGAAAAGGGGAATTTATTTATAGCCGCTGCATAGCAGAACTTTCAGCCCAGTGATAAGCCACCAGAAATTAGTTGTTGCACCATCATCTTCAATAGTCCCCAACAACAAGATTATAGTTTCAAAAAAGACCTTGTTCCAGATAAAGGAAGTAAACTCAAGTTTTCTAGACATAATCAGTCTAAAAGTAACACAAATCCCAAATCTATAAACCCTCAAAAGCAGCTGGTTGAGGAGGGACTTCTAGCATCCAATTTGATGTGCAGGAGATCACTCTTATTCAGGTTTAATCATTATCCTTAGATCTTTCCCAACTGGTTTTCCCAAGTGTTGCCACACTTTAAGAGATGGAAACAGATATGAGTAGAATTAAATTATCGTGTATAATGAGACCTTCTGTTCTGTACCACCTCTGGTGACATCGAATATAAGCTCATTAATGCAGAGAGCTATGGAGGTTCAGTGGGAATAGCAAAAAGGAAAAGACAAAAAAGGGCAATGCTGAATGGTTCCTCTATTCATTTTATCTGATTTATGTTTAGGCACAATATTTTGATCATGATTTTTCTACCAAAACCAACACAAGAACAATGCAAAAATATAGACTATATATCTATGTATACACTGATCAGCCATGAAATTATGACCACCTGCCCAATATTGTGTAGGTCAGCATGGGCACTCTGACTGGTATGCAACTATGCAGCCCTATACCAACAAACTGCGTTGCATTGTGTGTTTTGACACCTTTCTATATAAATTATATTAAATCGAAGTTTTATATATATGCATTGTGATATATCAGAATATATATATAACCAGCATTAATTTTTTCAGGAATTTGAGCTACTGTTGCTCGTCTGTTGGACTGCACCACATGGGCCAGCTTTCTCACCCCACGTGCTTCAATGAGCCGTGGCGGCCCATGACCCTGTCTCCAGTTCAATGCTTTTCCTTCCTTGGACCACTTTTGATAGGTACTGACCACTGCAGACCGGGAAACACCCCACAAGAGCTGCAGTTTTG